CTTAAGGGCCCCATATTCTTTAAATAGTGTTTTCCGCAAAGACAAATAATTTCAAACATTTAATAACTGAATAATCTAAAGCTTATCAAATAATAGGAATGTTATGTCATGCCATCTGGGTATTTTCAAAGACGCCGCAGTAAAACGAATAAACAGGTGTAAAAAACGATCAAACCATCAAGGTTTTAGGTACTGAAATCTACGAAAATACTAACTTTTTTATATACAACTCCACATGTAAATATTCTTATAAAATGTACTTGCTTAGTCCTAAACATGAAATTGTTTACTTTTATTTATAAGTACGTGAAAATAATGCTTAAAATGTGGGGTTAGGATAACAGCAAACGCATGTTTTATAAACACTTTTTTTAGTTATTTTATTTGAGTAAATTTAAATAGTAACAATGAATAAACAGAACATCAAGGTTTTTATTTTTGTGCTTACTTTTTTTTACTTTACTTTACTTTACTTTTCAAGATTTCAGTACCTAAAAACGCCAGGAATTTGACTATTTCCGGCCAGGGATATGGCCACCCAACTGGTAGGATCTGCAAAAGGCTGAAAATCATCTTTGCAATTGAATTAAAACGTTACTTTTATACACATCCAAATACAACAGCCTTCAAATAACACAATGACAATAGAATAATGATAGCTCCTTTCAAACAACACAATTTTTGTTTAATATCCAAGGCCTACTATTGCTGTTTTAGATTCTTTTAGTTCCTGCCGACTGCAGATTATTTTCGTCGTTTTTGCTGATTGTTCGAAATCGGCTACTCCAATAAGGAAATGTGACAACATTTTTTATTTAGAATTTGAAGGTTTGTCAAATTATATTAAAAAAAATATGGTGTTGTCACTAAAAAAATATCGTTTTTGTAGCTACTGGAGAAATCTGGCAACACCGGAAAGAATAATTTGTAAATTTTTCTTAATCAAGTTATTTTCTCCAACTCTGCATTTGGAAGTACTAGTCTATCACTTCAAATAAAAAAGTTGGCTTATGTCAGGTTTTAAAATAATAGCACTGTATACAGGGTAGCCCATCGAAAACGTACCGCAAGGCATTATAGGGTAGTAATGAAGTTTTCGGCAACATCCAAAAACAGGTAAAGTTTGCTTCTGAGGAGGACAACTTTTGGCGCAAAAAGCATAGCAAAATCTTCAACCCCCTAAGTGGGGGTGCCATCCCCCAAATTTTTTTAAATGGGAATGGGGGTCAAGTGGGGGGTCATTAGAAAGGGCTTTTAATTCTCTATACATCGATTCTTACTTTTTGAAAATCGATCCATTATTTTAGAAAATATGCAGCTTTGAAAATACGAACAATATTTTTGACGAGAAATGCGAAAATCGATTTAATTTTACTTCAAAACTTACGGTATTAGCTTGGTAAATTCCTTCAAAAGAATTCGCTGTTTTTTTTCTGATTTGCGAATTCTTTAGCCTGATTTTGGTGAGCAAAAAATTGTCCGCTTTTTGTTTCGTATTTAGATAGGCCACAAGAAGTTGCTAGATAACTGTCTTGTGACTTGTAGTTGAAGAGTACCAATACTGCCGAGTCTTTTAAATTGATTAATTATGGTGTACTCAATTCCAGAAAGAGTAGAAATTATTGAGCTTTTTTTCAAAAACAATGAATGCGGAAATCGGGTCGCCGAACTGTTCAACCAACGGCATCCTGAGAAACATGCGTCTGGAAAAATTGTTCGCGAATTGGTGGCCAAATTTCGCGAAACTGGCTCCGTTCATAACAAAAAGAGGCAGGTTGAAAATCCGGTACTAAATGAACCTACGGAAATAGCGGTATTGGGGCAAGTGGCAATGGATAGTACGCTGAGTACAATGCAATTGGCTACTGCGACAGGAGTGAGTCGTACAAGTGTCCAACGAATATTAAAAAAATACAAATTCCATCCTTATAAGATTCGGCTAGTGCAAGAGCTAAATGAAGACGATTTTGATCGTCGTTTGCAATTTTGCGAAATAATGACTGAACGAGCGATAAACGATAATTTCCTCTTTAATGTGTGTTTTTCGGACGAGTGTACGTTCTTCTTGAATGGTTTAGTGAATCGCCATAATTGTCGTTACTGGGCTGATACCAATCCAAGGATTTTCCATGAGACACACTCCCAACACCCCCAGAAGTTGAATGTATGGGCAGGTATTTTTGGAAATTCCATTGTAGGTCCTTTTTTCCTTCCTGGAAATTTGACAGGCGATATGTACTTGGATTTACTACAAAATGTCATCGACCCAGCTCTAACAAATATCATAGAGGACGACCCTGCTTACAATGAACACGAACTGATTTTCCAGCAAGACGGAGCTCCTCCACATTACTCGCTCAATGTGCGCAATTACCTAAATGAGACGTTTCCAGGACGCTGGATAGGACGAAGAGGTGCAATTGAGTGGCCCCCTCGGTCACCCGACTTAAATCCTTTAGATTTCTTTCTCTGGGGGCACATTAAAAGCAAAGTTTACAGCACTCCACCTGATACCTTGGAAGATCTGCGAGGACGAATCATTAATGTATGTCGCGAAGTAACACCGCAAGTGCTCCAGAATGTTCGACAACGGTTTGAAGACAACCTGTATCATTGTATGCAAGTTGGCGGACAACATTTTCAGCATTTACTTGACTAATACCGTAAGTTTTGAAGTAAAATTAAATCGATTTTCGCATTTCTCGTCAAAAATATTGTTCGTATTTTCAAAGCTGCATATTTTCTAAAATAATGAATCGATTTTCAAAAAGTAAGAATCGATGTATAGAGAATTAAAAGCCCTTTCTAATGACCCCCCACTTGACCCCCATTCCCATTTGAAAAAATTTAGGGGATAGCACCCCCACTTAGGGGGTTGAAGATTTTGGTATGCTTTTTGAGCCAAAAGTTGTCCCCCTCAGAAACAAATTTGTCCTGTTTTTGGATTTTGCCGAAAAGTTCTTTACTACCCTGTAATGTCTTGCGGTACGTTTTCGATGGGCTACCCTGTATATAACTACACAGGCCGATAAAATTTGGCCTAACCTCTATCCCAGAAACAGAATATAATTTTCCGAAGGATTTTGGTACGTTGAATTCAAATTCGAAGTCCAAATTTCTCAGTTGGCTCTGGTTTTCGAGATATACTAACCTAAAAGTGCCAATATCGCGATTTTTTTGACATATTTGGGGTTATGTTATATGAATAGGTTATTTTTTTGCTAAAACCATTAATGGCGTCTTAAAGTACTATACTCACTCTTTAACACGTATTTGCATTTATCCCGATATCATTTGTAGTCTTTGAGAAATCGCATGTTGAAATTTAGTAGTTTGATTTATTTCTCGAATTTTGTATAAGTACTGACAATAGAGCACCACAAAACTAAATTCATCGGCAACCGGAAGTAGAGATCTTACATGTTTTTGGAGTGGCTGATCATGAATCTGAACGACAAAATACTCTATCACGTTAAATTTTGCAATAAATTTTAAAAAATGTCTAAAAATTTGATAAATGGAATACGTTTGCACACAAAAGGGGCTAATACGCTCAATCCCAAAGTCATAAACCCTAAGCCCATAAGGTTTGTGGTGCTGAATACTCAGAACATAAGTATTCAAAAACTGAGAAATAAGTCAAACTACTAAATTTCAATAAGCGATTTCTCAATGACGAAAAATGGTATCGGGGTAAATCCAGGTGAGTTTTAAATAGTAAGTATAGTACTCGTACTTACTTTAAGACCCCATTAATGGTTTCACCAAAAAAATTACCTTTCCATGTAACATTACGTCAAATATGTCAAACAAAATCGAGATTTTAGTACTTTTAGGTTAGGATATCTCGAAAACCAAAGCCAATTGAGTTTGGACCTCGGATTCGAATTCAACGCACTAAAAATATATTCGTGTTGTTGGGTTTAAATCTTGTCGGCATGTGTTATTGTTTATCTTATTTATTTGTAATGACTGATTAAACTTAAAATATAATATATTTTTATAGTATGAATTCCATTTGCTGTATTTTTTTTGTAGTACGAAATTGTTAACATTTTTGAGAAAAATAAGTTTTATTTCACAGAAGAATTATTGTGATATAAATATGTACACACTAAATAAAGCATTATTATGCACTTAACAAAATAATTGTAACAGCAGAATTCTATTAAAAACAAAAAGAAAATAAGTAAGTAAATTAGAATTTACTGAAATAAAAGAAAGTCATGTTACTGAATATTTATTAACAAAACTTCTCCGCAGTGTCCAACAACAATACAAATTTAAATATAAAAAATTGTATCATCTCATAATTATACAAACTTTTAGTTCATCAAAATAGTCTTTCTTTTCCAAACTTCCAGTGGGTAGTTAGTTGCTTCTTCAATGTGCAGAAATTTCTACGATTTCGGATCTTAAAAGAAATAAAATATACGTAAGTTAGTATTCGCTATTATATATAAAAATATTCATCTGTAGACATAATCACAAGGTGGTAAGGTCTTGCAAGGTTCGTAGTCGTGAGGCTTCACTTTTTTGTCGCAGAAATGATCTGGTAGCGCCATCTCGTGGAAGTCGACGCACATCACGCTTCGGTGTTTCATCGGCTTCTTCCCCTGGAAAATGATAAAGAGAAATTTTCATTGTGGGAAACGTAGTTTGTCAGATTTGTCGTAGATGGCGCATGGGGCCAGTTTCTCGTTATAATAACTTTTAAAAACTATAATCATTCGACAATATATTTAAAAGAAACATACAGGGTGTTGCATCACGAGACGGACATGGCTTAATGGGAGATAGAGGACATCTAGGGTAATTAGGATCGCCTATAGAAATAGCTCCTTGGCCATTCTTTATTGAGATACAGGGTGATTTATGATTTTAGGTCAAAACTGCTTTATGTCATAACTTTGGTAGGGAATGGAATAATGGGTTCATATTTGGTAGGGTTATTGCACTCACGATACTTCATGTGTGCATGTATGGCAGCAAAAAATCCAGGTCCGAAAATTGTTAATTTTTTGTGCAAGTCTAGAAAACAACACTCTGTATGTATTTTTTTGAAATTCCGGTACGATATTCGGAAGGAGCATAAAAAAGTGATCTTAAAGACGTGTTTCTTTTTCTTGTTACACTTTGGTGGTTACTTAAATAAGCTATTGAATATAGGAGACTACGACTTCTAAAACTAAATTACGTAAAGGACACATGATAAAAATAGTTTTGCAACTAAAATTAGCGAAGGCTTAATTGAGGGTAGATGTTATAAATAAGCATGCATATTTTAAACCTCATTTTCTTTAAATAATATGTATTCCAGGTCCGGACTGCAAAATTTTTATTTTTTTGTAACTAGAAAACATCGCCCCGTATGTATTTTTTTGATATTCCCATACGATTATCGAAAAGAAGAATGGCAGAACTAATTCTTCTTGTGCTAGTTTTTGGATTTTGTTGAACTAAATTTAAAATATTGTTCTGTTCTTGAGCATCTTGATGTAGGTAAATTACGCTCCACATTTTTTGGAGTTGGAAACCTCCCGTGTTGTCTTGAGTACAGGAAGACTTTACTAAAAGTTTTATAATTAGGATGCCGACGACCAGAAAAACGTTGCTGATATTCCCTTTGTGCTGCCCTACTATTCCCATTGCAAAACCCATAGATAGTATTCATCTATGGCAGCATATTCTTCGTTTGAAAATAATTGCGGCATATTTAAATTACAAAATTTAAAGTATTAAATGCAAGTTATTGAATACACAATAACACCAGTAAAAAGTTTGTTGTCAAACAATTCACTATTTAATTGTCTGTCACTTTGAGTAGGCCTACTATAATTAATTTACATCAAGATGTTCAAAAAGAGAATAATATTTTAGAACTTTAAAATTCAACAGAATGCAAGGTCTAACATAAGTTCGACTATTAATATTTCTCAATGGAATGTATGGAAAACATTGAAAATGAAACAGTATTATTCATACAACATTCACTCATGGCTTTTTCGCGTTGATTACCTAACCACCGTCCGGTCATTTACAGAACTTATTTATTAATGAGTTGTAATTTACAAAAGATGGGGTAAATAAATAACTCAAGAAACGACTATAAATGGGCACATCAATGCCCATCTGCAAACGCTTATGTAGTTCACAGTACAGATTTACTGTAACTGTTTGGGTAGATCTACATGAATGGCAATCGAAATCTACGGATTATAATTTATATTTTGTCATGTGTTTTTATCATGCGTATTTAAATAATCAACAAAGTGTAACAAGAAAAAGAGACATGTCGCTGATATTATTTTTTATGTTCTTTTCGATAATCGTATGGGAATACCAAAAAATACATACGGGGCGATGTTTTCTAGTTACAAAAAAATAAAAATTTTGCAGTCCGGACCTGGAATACATATTATTTAATGAAAATGAGGTTTAAAATATGCATGCTTATTTATAACATCTACCCTCAATTAAGCCTTCGCTAATTTTTTGCATGTGTCCTTTACGTAATTTAGTTTTTGAAGTCGTAGTCTCCTATATTCAATAGCTTATTTAAATAACCACCAAAGTGTAACAAAAAAAAGAAACACGTCTTTTAGATCACTTTGTATGCTCTTTCCGAATATCGTATCGGAATTACAAAAAAATACATACAGAGTGTTGTTTTCTAGACTTGCACAAAAAATTTAAAATTTTTTGCAGTCCGGACCTGGATTTTTTTGCTGTCATACATGCACACATGAAGTATCGTGAGTGCAATAACCCTACCAAATATGAACCCATTATTCTATTCCCTGCCAAAGTTATGACATAAAGCAGTTTTGACCAAAAATCATAAATCACCCTGTATCTCAATAAAGAATGGCCAAGGAGCTATTTCTATAGGCGACCTAGTTACCCTAGATTCCTCTATCTCCCATTAAACCATGTCCCTCTCGTGATGCAACACCCTGTATATTAACAAAATTAGATTTGGTTAAAATAATTAACATTGTGGTTTTCAACAAAGTTCTGGTGATTTTGTGGTATTTGCTATCTAAAATACTATTTAATGTATATAGGGTACTCTGAAATAGGTGTCTGAAAAAGCATCAATAAAGTGATGTTCTGAATCAATTCAGACGAGATTCTTTTAAGAAATATTGCTTAATATGAAAAACAGAAACATGTTGTCTCACGGAAATGTCTATAAACCTTCGTTCTTTTTCATGTAAAATAAGTAAAAAAGTAGTTTATATAGAAATGTATCGTTCCCGAGAAATATTTCAAGAACATATAAAAACGGATTTACAAAGTTTATCACAGTAATATATACGTTTATACGTTTAGTGCCTACAGAACCATGCCATAATAAGTCTGCGTTTCAGTGACCAGTGACGTAGATATAAGTTCATTTTCAGACTTACGTTTTGGAAAAAATATGTTATTATTAAAATTTCCTCCTTTTTTACATTAAAGTGCATTAACGTAAAGTCTAACTAAATTTGAATGAGGCTGAAAAAATAGTAACATATATGCATAACATATAACATATAAATTAAATAAAAAGATATAAACATGAGTTTACGTTGCTATATATACGAACTAACTTAAATGGGTTGGGTTGCGTAATCAGGGGAGCAATATTATACCTCTAAAAAATCAAGGCTAACATGATTAGTTTTCGAAATATTTGAAAAAAACTTAAATTTTCGTTTTTGTTTCATTTCAGCTTTGCTTGAGGTGATATTGCAAAAAGAAGAATACTTTCTCATGGCAACTTCTTATCCTCTATCGAATAGCATAATCAATTTTTATATGTAACATTTCGTCTTTCCAGGACCATCATCAACTTCATTTTTTTAAATACGTCCCTAGAAACTTTATAACATTTCTTTGCAAGCCTTCATGGCCCGAACCAGATTCAGACGTTTTGTCTGGAAAAATTCATCTTCACTGCATTCGTTCCAAATTTATCTAAATTTTTTATTTAGATTTCTATGTTTATTTAATTATCGTCCGCTCTAACTATTACCATCACGCGTTACAATAAAACATTATTAGAGTTTTAATGCCGTGCCCATAGATATTTCTAGGCTTCTCGAGTGCTCAAAATTCAAGCAAATTCCGATCTAATTTTTTCCAGGATATTCATACAAATACATCTGACATTTCACTGTTGCGGTTACAGTATAATAAATTCCGATAATATTACGTTGATCTTCATTTTTAACACTTGCCAAAACGTAAATACTTTTGAACATTTACATTTGAGATTTTAGTTATTCATATTATGCATTTTTAAGAATTCATTTAAAATTATAATAATGTTTTAATTTTGACGCAACAACTTATCGAGTTATGTATGACCAGGTGATGGTAATAGTTTAAATAACTAGGTGGATTTCACAGGGTCTAACGACATTTAGAGTGTACGATAATTGAATAAACATACAAATCTAAATAAAAAAAATTAGATAAATTTGAAACGAGTACACTGAAGATGAATTTTTCGAGACAAAATGTCTGAATCTGGTTCAGAAAAAAGCAGCAAATTCTCTGCATGTTCTTGAAATTACTTTGTCCATAAATAACTAACACATTAAAATAATCCTCATTAGTATTATTTAAACGATCCCTAGGCAACGATTTAAATTTTCGGTAAAAACTATTACAGACGTAACAATAATTTGACAACTAACTTGACAAATATCAAGTTATTTTAATTGTTTTTGGAGTATTTCTGGTCATGGGCAATTTGACAACAGGTCTGCTACGAGAAAAATTCTCCAAGAAATAGAAAATTGCAAATACATATATCTCTAAAAGTAGTAACGGCAACCCTAACAATGCTTATATGGCTTGAAAGAAAATTTCAATTTGCACACGGCAGAGTAAAAAAATATAGGGTGTTTCATTTAATTTTACAAAGTTATAGATGTTTGAAGTTATCAAAATGTAACAGCAAAAATGAAACACCTAGTATTAAATGTTTTAATTTGTTGGTATACCATAATGTAGTGTTACTTATGCTCTTTGCAAGTGCCAAAAATCCACTTCACATCACGCTCCTGAAAAGAGTTACGAGCATCTCCGCGAACCCTTGCTCCTGCCAAATTTTTTCTTTAAAAATTAATATCTCAAATTCTATAACATCTAGGTATATGGAATACTTAATAAAGTGACCCTCAAATTTCACGTAGAATTCGAAAATGCAATATCGACTCCTGGTATAACCTGGAGTGCTGGAGAGTTCTAGATATTTTAGTTGTGTTTACCCCAGGGACATTGCCATGTTGCCAAATTTTCAAATTTTTCCGGGATGTACTTTACTGTATATGTAATCTGATGATCGATAATTTTGAAAACCGATATTAGCCTTTAAGTCTTCTGTTTTTCCTGTTTTTACTTAATATGTTTTTGAAAAGTCGATTTATTCGACTTTTTTGTGGAATAATAATAATACTTAATGGTAGAAGTATATGAGTTATACCAAAAATTATTTAGGAAGGGACATAAATATCTCATTTTTCAAACAGCCATGATTTTTCAATGCACCGTTCACACCTTCGCACTAACTTATTACATCGGAAGGAATGGTTTATTTTGGTATATTCCCTAAATATTTGGTCCTTAAAGTTTGTCATCGTCAAAGATTTAAATAGTTCGACTATTTCTTAAATGAAATGTTGTGAGTATGCTGTTACTTTTGAAATGACATCATCTACAGGAAATTATTTTCAGGGTCCTTTGAATTTCAGTTTCAATTAACAGATAAGATACTTCTTGTGTAAAAATGTTTTTTATACATAATTTGGAGCTAATAGTTAGTAAATACTTTTAAGAAATAACCAAGTTAAAAGACTTCAAAGCATAACACATTTTCTTAAATCTGTAATAATTACTTAAGTATGTGAATATTTTAATATTTATTTGAATTAAGTAAATATCTTAAGACCCAGCTGGACACCTACCCTTAAATTAGTTAAGATAAAACGATTCTCTTTATCTAACACCATACTCTATAAATGGAAATCTTCCTAGGGTATACTCGTTGCCGAATATTTTAAATTTATGTTTTTTAAATGTAGGAAATTGATAGAAAAACTGTAAACCCATTTTAATCCAAATGGAATCTAGAAAAACAATTAATTTCTGAATAAAATCAAACATTATAGTTAATCTTTTTGTGTTGTATTTAATTGCAGAGCAACAATTCACAAAATATATGTTTTTAAATTTAAAGCAGAAATAAAATACTTTTTTTTAGTTCATTAGCTAGTATTAATAATAAAATAGCTCATGTCAAGTGTTTACTTTTATATCTATTTAATATTTACAAATATTTATTGTTTTTTGTGCATATGGCGATTGATTTGCCCGCACCAGAAATAATAAAAATTAATAACTTTGAAGTTCCAATTTTTTCACATTCACAGTTTCAACTTTTGTCACGGATACGACAATTACTCCAAACAAATACAGTTCGAAATAAGTATCTCCTTCTTGATTAAAATGTTGTAATAAATATTGCCATAAATATAAACTCCAGGTTACCGATTCAATTAAATGGTAATTTCCAGACAAATTATTGAGATAAATTACAGGCGGTTGAAATTGTTTTCGGATATACCTGACTGCTATTAATCATTGGGAACTTTAATAACTTTTGATTATATTTAATTGAATTGTACGCAACTGCTTTATTGCCTCACCATTTCGATGATTAAAAACTTCTCCGGGGGATTATCGGTGGGGGACCGAAACTCATTACTAATACTGTAATTAATAACATTATTTTTAACTCGGATTTATGTCCCAGTTATTGAGATCTCTAGTTTGAAATTTCTCTTCATGGATGGGGAGGCCCCAACCAGTTCAAAACAAAGTTTGTCGATCGGCGGTTGAATTTTGGGGATGAGTCGTTTTCAAATTCAAGGTAGTTCTGACCCTCGTATTGATTTAAATTATCTCGATTCTTTAGGATTTCACGTGCTTTACTGTAGACTATTGGGTAAAAGCTTCTCTCTCATAAAGATTCTGATATTAATTAAATCTACCGTGTGTCGTCTATCCGGACCTGTGATCCGCAGCTGCCATTTTCTTCAACGTTATTACTATTCAAGTGACACTTGTGTTCCTTTAACCCCGTACTGATATGTCTTCTCGTTTATCTAATGTACACATAATGCTGACACACCTAGGCCTTGGAGCAGATAGTTCTTCTAGTTTTCTATCTTTCTTCAGCTATTATAGATAGCAATAATATCGTGTTTCTTCAACATGTGCTCTATATTGTCAGTATATCTTTTTATAGGGCACGTAAAGTAATTCAAATTTTGGTATAAGACATCTTGACTTACTATGCAATATGTCTGGTGCTAGATATTGGATCGTTGTCAATGACATCTGCATTTTCCTGTAGGTGTCCTGATTAAGTTATAATGTCATTAATTTAAACCACGTAAAAATTTTTACTCAATCTTTCAAAAGGTAGCAAATTGTCCGTTAACTCCCGCTAATTCGGCGCACTGATGGGCATCATAATTTCTGACCAGAAACGGGCCGACGGACCACAGAGCGTTCGAACGTTGAAGGGAAACAGCTGATTTCCCCAGTCGTCTTGAATTTTGAAACTGGTTTCAAAATCAAAGTACATTATTAACAAAGCGTTGTAGACGAATGAGTGTTATTTTAGCCGTGTCGGCGTTTTAAATAGGCAGGTACCAAGCAATAAGTCACTAGGTATATGTACTACAAACTAATAATAATTAATTGAACATAATAGCCTCAGGGGTTTACATAAAGATTTGAAAATATTTTTATTCAGCGTAAATATGTATTTTAAAATTTTTTTAATGGCGTATTCGTATTCCATTCAATTTTTCATATCTTCCTTTCAAATTAATGACATTTTGACTAAATCATCCTGTATAAATTTTAAATCACCATTATTTTTATGAAAGGTCAGGTTATGCGTAGCAGAAAACGAAAACAAAACAAAAAAACACGATTACTATCTATAACGTAATTTATTCCTCAATTTTTTGTTAGATTTTCAATTGCTGAATATTAGATAAAATTTTTCATATTAATGCACTAGGTAGAATTACTTTTAAGTTTTCCGTTATTTTTGAAATTTTGAAATTTATTAGAAAAATTTGCATATCTTGTCGAGCTCTATCGGGTAAAAAGGAAAATTCTAACTTAAAAAATACTTCATATCTAAATAATTTTAACTGTACACTACAGGTGACCAATAATGTATGAAGGTCGTTAGTTGCATACAAATATACAGGGTGTCTCATAATTAGTGTCCAATAATTTACCACTTGATTCTATTGCCAAAAATAAGAATATTTTTTCATATAAACATGGGTCGAGAAATGCTTCCTAAGGGAGCTATGCCCCCCTAAATGGGGCCTCAAATAATTTATTTTTTTTTAAATATTTCCGAAATGGGTTGAAGGAAAATTCTGAATTTTGACATCGTGGACGCTCAATAAAAGTCGAAATAGATCATCATAATATTTTTCAAAAATTTTAGTCAGGGGCGTTTCAATTGGGGGGTCGTCGACTAAGGTTTGCCTCAATTTTTTTTCTTGTTGAAATTTTCAAATTCAGATGCCAATATATGACAGACCCTTATTTCCTCCACAAAAGAGGTACTCTTTATTTCTTTCGATAAAATGCTCCATTTCCGAGAAAAACGGATCTAAGCATTTCAATACATTCATTAATAAAATAGAATAGCTAAAACGAGTACCATTATGAAATTTTATATGTTATCATACATTGTAATAAACAACGTGAAAAGTTGTTTGAAAAGTTTGTTACGGGCGTCCTAAGCAGGGGGGAGGGGGGCTCGGGTAATTTTTTTATTTTTTACATGTTATTTTCAAATTTAAACAGTAAAGTTTGATGGATCTGAGTTTTCTATTAAAAATGGTAATGTTGTTTTATATCGAAAAAGTAATCTGTTTTCGAGGAAAATCGGTTTAAATATGTTACTATGTTTCCAAAGTGTTTCTAAGCAGTTAAATCCTTTTTCATGGAAATGGAGCATTTTATCGAAAGAAATAAAGAGTACCTTTTTTGTAGAGGCAATGAAGGTCTATCATATGTTGGCCTCTGAATTTGAAAATTTCCACAAGTAAAAAAAATTGGGGCAAATATTAATCGACGACCCCCCAATTGAGGCGCCCATGATAAAAATTTTTGAAAAATTTTATGATGATCTATTTCGACTTTTAAAGAGCGTGGTGTCAACATTATGAAAACATATTTTTATTTTTAGCAGTAGAATTAATTACGAGACACCCATTTTTTTAAATAACTTTTTATATTTTTATATAAATTTTCGTTCCACGTATTACTAAATTCAATTAAAAATGCGACATTCTAAGAATATAACAGAAATGCAAATATGTTCCGACGTATCTATCATTTGAATGTAACATATTTATGGCTGGATCAGTTTGAAGCAATGGTACTATTTTTAAAACATAAGGTATTATGGTGTTTTGTGTGGCCGTAATATTGGTTGTTCTAGCGAACATAACAAAACAAACCTTGGGAGCATAGCCAACGTAGGAAAATATTCTATTTTTAATAAATTTTAAGCAAAAATCACGCAATTTTTTAATATGTTAAAAACTGTTTATCAGTACCTGATCAGCACAGGCGACTGGGCAATCTTGCCAGGGCCCCACCCACCAATGGTAGGGACAGGGATCTTCATTGCATTTCTCCGTAACTATATGCGGCCGGTCTTTGGACTGACACATAGCATCCTCCACCAGGCTGGTTTGTTCGATTTCAGGCGACATCGACGACACTGCCGACTTTTGACAGAAAGGACGGCGAAGCTGAACGCCACCACCACAGGTAGAAGAGCACTGGGACCAGTCGCCCAGGATCCACGTGTAGCGCACCTCCTTGGTGGTTTCTGGTTTCCAGATGGAGTACTGGTATTCTATGCCCGGATTGTGGGTTTTGCCTTTGTAGTAAATCTGTGGGCAAGGAACAATTAGACACAGAGTGTCCCATTTAACTTTCCCACCACACTTATCTCGGTCGGATTATCGAATTAAATGTCTCGCATTACTTCATTAGAAACTAAATTAAGGCGAGGCATATTTCAGACGATATTAGTTTTACAAATAAATTTACAAGAATACACTGTTTACTTGTCAGTAAATTAATTGTCAATAGTTTTGTTTCCAAATAACCAAATCTTACTATGGTTAAATAAATCGAAAACCGTTAAATTTATCGACATAAAACAACTATATCTTATTTGTGTAAAAACCAAGAGTATGTACATTTGGTAGCAACCTCTAACGTCTACAGCACAGTCCGGATTCGTTTTCCTGGTCCCAAAAAACCTCTGAATCCAAATTTTCAAAGTTGAAAAGTTTCTATAAATATTAAGAATTTTGAAATTCATAATTTAACTTTAACACCCCGTATCTTTTTTATTATCAACAAATGGACTAAAGTTTAGCTACATCGCACTATTTTGTGTGTCCCATTAATTTCGGGACACCTTGTATAGAAATAAATCAACAGACCGTCAGTGTATCAGACTGTATGATATAGCCGATTTGGATGGCTGATCTGTCAAAGGAATTACAAGAAAAGGACGGTAAATTTTAGGAAACTGTGGCAACCTGTATTGAAAAATGTTTAATGCCCGTTTGCACCGTAGTGTTTCATCCAGGATTAAGTCTGAACTTGGATCAAAATATAGGTAACATTTTGTTTGCACCGTTTCAAATCTACATATTAATCTAGGATTAATTTATTAATTAATTTAAACAAACCCTCAAATTTGACCGCTTAAACTTGGATTAATGAGAAAATATAAATTGACACTATTGACAGTACTTAGCTGCTAGTTATATTTTTTTTAAATTGGCATTTCTTCCTTTTCCTGTGGACTGCTCCTACGAGTGAGTGGTGTTAAGACATCATTGAGAACTTTGAAATGGATTCAGATTCTGCCTTTGATGTATTGGATGATTTTGATATTCACGAAATTATAGACTTTGGATTTCCTAGATATATTAGAAATGATCTATTTCATAATCTAGACAATATGACTTTTTTCCGCAGATTTAGGTTGATAAAAGAGACCACATTATATCTGCTAACTTTAATTGAAGAGGAGTTGGAATATGGAAATAGAAATGGAAATGTAAGTTTTACGAACACGTCGGCATGAACACGATGCAAGTGGCAATCAAAATTTTGGAGTTATAAAAAGCTTTTATTCTTAACATGATTTTGTATTTCTGGGAATAATAGTGCATCTTCTATTCAACAATTGGTTCTATGCTTGTGTTGGTCATTTGTCTGCTATTGCAGACTTTTCAGGGATGGACATATCAACAGTGTCCAGAATAATTGTACGAGTATCAATTGCAATAGCTCGGCTTAATCAGAGATACATAAAAATGCCAAACCCAGAAGAAATAGTTAATGTGCAACATGAGTTCTATAAAACTGCATCATATCTTAGAGTGTTAGGTGTTATTGATGGTACTCATATTAAAATTTTGGTTTAGGATTTGTTTTTGACATATTTTTTTTCCGAAAATAACTGGACATAAGTTAGCAGCATAATAAAATCCCTAAACAGTATTCCTAAAGCCCAGTTTAATTTAATCTACAAAAGCTGATTATTAAAACCTAGTTTTAAAATTAAACCAAGTTCACTTGAACTTGGCTTAAATTCTAAACGGTGCAAACGGGCATTAGAGACTTACATATTTAGAAGGTAGTTAAGGCTCATTACACATTAATAATAATTAAGTGTACCTATACTACAGCCTATATTTGCGCAATTAAACTTTGAGGTGTTAAAACAAATTTATTAAGCAATACAATCTTTTCTCTGCGACGGTATATTTACTAATCTTTTCGTTTCACGAAAGAAAGTGGTCGGCTTTATGCTGAAATTACATTTTAAAACACCGCAAATGAGAAAGCAGCGCACAATCCCAGTCTACTTTATCCCCAGTAATGAATTTTCGTTTATCATATCAAGCTGGGAATAAATACGTCCCCAGATAGAGCGCGCAAACAGATTTAAAGGTATCTTCGTCACATAAACTGAACGCACCTCGGCGCAAAACAGCGTTATCAAGGGACGATAAATATCCTTTTTGTGTATTCAATTACCCGGGCGCCAAAAGAAAAGATGTAAATCTGACCTACGGTTAATGCAGGATGTTTGGCTCGACCCGGCAACACCTAAACAGCAACAAAAACGAACGGGCGATTCAATTATTCGGATATCTTGGCGATTTGCGAGGGGCGAATGGACTGATTCTATGATTTCGGGACTACCCGAGTTGTCCTAAAGAAAAAAAGGCCGACATTTTAAGACATTGCAGCAAAAACGAGGTAGCTGCACTTTTTGGCCAAATGGAGTTAACTGCACGAATCGTTAAAGTATATTAATGTTGTCGTTTGAATAAAAAATGAGACGTCTACCTTACTTGGTTTCGGTCATGCACAATTTTTTGTAGCCACCTTCTCCTCTAATTACTGCGAAACATTAGGTGCAATAACAAGGTAATTGTGCAGATATCGTCATATACAGGGTGTTAATGAACTTATGTCAAAACAACAGCAGCAAAAACTGGGTTAACTGATGTCACAAAGGTCATAGAGAAAAAAGCTAATTAAAAATGTGTTTAAAACTGTTTTGGAACTGCTGAGCAATCGCGAATATTATGATATACTCATAATTTACGGCGAAACAAACCCACATAGCTTGTCAAGTGTATGTTGCTGTAGCGCAAAGAGTTTTGGACACCGGTGAAATATAATCGCGTCGAGGTTGCGACGTGGCCCAGGGCTACTACTAAGAATCTTAAATGTCGAGGAGATGATTTTAGGTCTCGTCGGAGAAGATCCGCATCGTAGAACCAGAAATATCGCACAGCAAGTAAATATTTCGCATCCTATAGAAGCTCAGTTGTACCCATTTCATATTCAACGTGTTCAAGTGCTTACTCCTGAAGATTTTCCATTACGTCGAGGTTTTTGCGAATGGTTGCTTCAGGAACATGTAAGAAATCCTCAATTTTCAGCGCAAATACTTGTTATAGATGAAGCATGTTTCAGTCCAAATGGTATAAATAAAATAAAACTCACCACTGGCTATCGAAAATCCACACGAAATACCCTAAAACGACAAATAGTCGCGATGCCCTTCAGCAACAGTTTTCAGGGAACATGTGGTCAGGTATCGTTATTGACACTGAATTGCCTATACTCCGCGGTCGAAATTATAGAGAGTGATTCAGACATAATATAAAAACTATATTACCATAATGCGTATGAAATATAAAATGATTTTTATACGGTTCAATATTATTTATCTTTGTGCCGCTCGCTACGCACATCGATAGAATCTATAATCGTCTATAGACTGAGTTACACTGAACGTCGATCTATATTCTATCTCTGTCTTTTGCACTTGGTAGGGAATAGGGAAATGCTTTTTTAGTAGGTGTAAACGGACTTGATTTACCAGTCCTGAGAAACGTCATAGCATAAGCGTATACGAGGGGTCTAATTCCATGGCTAAAATAAATTTATAAATTAAAAAAACACAACTGGGACGTTTTAAAATGCTGTAATAATTAAAATGGATCAAAATGCCGATTATAGCAAACCGTAGAAAATATTAGATGTTATATTTTATTATATTTTTTCAATATTTTCTATATCTTGTTGCCTTTTACGCATTCGCGCCAATGGATTTTCGTTCCCGGCACGCTTCATCCCCTTTACTAGTCCAAAAGCTAGCGAGGAGTCACCCTCTATAATTTGGACCGCGGAGTATAGACGCTTAGACGGTGCTTCATATCTAGATTTTTTGCAAACTCGCTTGCAGGAGTTATTGGAAGACGTGCCATTAAATGTTCGGCAAAATATGTGGTTACTGCATGACGCTAACTTTTTTCGGAGAGTGCGCGACTTTCTAAACATTACTTTTCCCGATCGCTGGATAGGCCGCAGCAGCCTAGTGCCCCCCCCCCCCTCCCGTGGTCGCCGGACCTAACTCCTTTACACTTAGAAGCAATCGAACATCTTCTATGAAAGTCAGTAGTTCTCAAAAGGTGGCTCCTTGCAATGTTGGGGTAATTCAGATTTTAAAATTACATTTTACTCAACACAAATCCGTGTATTTACCTCATTTTGATATAACGGACATGTGGACAGAAATATCTGACATAAGTTCATTAGCACCCTGTATTGTTCGTTGCATAAACGAGATATATGTCAGATGCCTCATTCTTGCACCAGCTAGTGACAAATTTGCGTTCGCTAATAAAAGTAATTTTTATTTGTGCCTTATAGACATTTGAGTTAAATATATTTCTTATGAGTCTTCAAGTTTCGAGGAAGATACAGGCTCATCAGATGACTACATACGCTCTCATTATAGTGAAAATGAGACAAACGCAGCGGTTCCAAAAGAGAGGTTTGAAAAAAAAGAAAGTTACTTAATATTGAAAAGCGGAAACGAAATCTAAGAAAAAATAGCAGGGCATTGGGAAAGATTTACGTGGGAGCTATATTGTTTCACCAAGGTCAAGGTCGAAAATAGACATGCAATTTTGGATAATTTCAATAAATTAGTTTATTAACATGTACTTACATTATTTTCTAAAATAAAGTTTGCTTTTCTTTAAACAAAGTAAAGACCAAAGAAAAAAATCAATATAAATTTTAAAACACGTTTTTGTCTCTCCTGAAAAATGTCTAATAATGCAGCTATTTCGTTTTATCTGCAATGTCGTCATTTGTTTTCAAAATTATTAAATTTAAATATGGCTAACAAATAAATTATAATTTTTAATATTTTATAGAATTAATATATTTCAAAATTAATTACTAGTTTAAATAATCATATATTTGGTTTATAACGAATAAAAGTTTTAAGTGAATGACCAGTATGTAATAAAATAGTTCATTTTACTCCACACCCAAGAGGACCCCTTTTTTAACTTTTCATGCTTTAGTCTTTCTTTCTCGTATTTAAATAATGAAGAAAGGACATTATTGTACTCTTCGTTAAAAATTATTATTAACATTTAAGTAACTCTGGAATCGTGCAAGTTGTAATACGAATAATAATGAATTTAATTTTTTTGTTAATAAATGGTTAGATTTAAAGCAAAATAGTGAGAGAGAGGTCAAAGTTTTAAAATAAACCAGGCTTTCTGATACGAATTTTTGAATATTCAATTTTTCAAACAAAAAAGTTGTAGCAAAAAATTACTTAAGTGGATCCTTATTTCAACCTCCTCCAAGGAACAGAAATTTTTGAAAAAATGTTGCACATGCATTAGTAGAAAATGTGTGTAAAATTTGACTATTATACCTTTTTTGGTTTTCAAATTACAGCCACTACTCCATATTTTTTATGAAAACTGAGGGGCTTAACATTTTACTAAGGTCATTTGTGTTCTTTTTACCTGTACCATTTATGCTACTTCTTTTGAAAACACCCTGTATGTATAGGCATGTGCCATGACTCTCTTGTTATACTCACATAGAGAACTATGGGTTCCAGCACAGGCCCCGGGATACGGATCTTCTCCAGGTGATTGTCTCTCTCGTAGAGGGCTTGCGTGCCCGCAACTGTGTACTCTCCCGGCAGGGTGATGTGCCTGAAAGTAAGCGGAAGTGGGGATCGATTAAACGAGATGTTAATTCGCCAGAATAGGAATGTTGGATGGAATGCCCGTAGTTTTGTTGGTGTGAATAGGTAGCTCGAGGCTATTGTTTCGGCAAGATCGATTGTAGTTGTAGTACAATAGATCTGACATTAGCTCAATCTCAATATTATATACATCAAGTGAGTTTTTTTTGGGAAAATACCCCTGTATCTCGTTTAACAGAGAAACAGACAGTAGAATATAACGAAAAAACATATTTGTGATAAAATATTTGATGGTGAGATTTTACGATACATCAAAAAATATAGTGGTTTTTAAAAATTTATATAAATCGAACGGCCATATAAATGGAATAAAGTACAGCGTGTCTCTCCATATTTTTCACTTGTTTTACAGCAGTTAGTTTTCGAGGCAAAAAAATATTTATCCATGTTGGTCCATTACTTAAACATATAACAATATTATTCAAAAGCTACAGAACAGCTGCATATGTTTGCCTTATGAGATTCATTCATATAACATTACAAACAATGATATAAATATACATGGCCAAATGAAAATGAAACAGAGCCATTTTCAGGAACTGCGTCAAGATTGTAGAAAAACGCTCGGACCCGTCGTTTTAGATTAAAGGGGGGCATTCTTTGCTGCTATTTTTGACTCCGCCACTTTCACCCCCAAGCAAGGGTAAGCATCACCCCAAAATATTTAAGTAATTTGAGTAATATTCTTTTTGAAAGCTCTTACAATTCTCTTTACAACAGACTTTAAATTTTATAATTCCGCCCAATACTTTGAAACAAAATTACGTTTTAAAATTTAAATTATGTTTAGTTGCTTACTTACTACTTAGTTGATTAAATGTTCAAACTGATGACCGCCCGCTCCCATACAAGAATAAAGATTTTGTTCGAAACGTTCGCGCACATTCCGAAGCATTTCCGGAGTGATTCGACGGCATTCGTCGACGATTCTTTCACGCAAATCTTCCAGCGACGCTGGCTGTGTTTTATAGATTTTACTTTTTAGGTATCCCCACAAAAAGAAATCAAGGGGCGATAAATCCGGTGATCGTGGAGGCCACTCAATGCTGCCGCTTCTCCCAATCCAATTTCGTAGAAAACGTTGGTCCAAATACTGACGGACAATTAACGCATAATGCGGAGGAGTACCGTCCTGTTCAAATGATCTTCATCATACTCTGGAACATTTTCAATAATACCAGTCAAGGCAGGGTCAATAGCGTCTTCCACTAATTGCAAATACATTCGGCCAGTCAAATTACCAGGTAGAAAAAAAGGAGCCACCAGCCGGTCACCGAAAATTCCAGCCCATACATTTAATTTTTCCGGTTGCTGTGATGCACCTCGTGAAAAACTCTTGGGTTTGAATAGGACCAATAGCGGCAATTGTGACAATTTACCGTCCCGTTCAAGAAAAAACTGCATTCATCAGAAAAATAGCTCTCCTGCTCGCTCACTCATTATTTCGCAAAATTGCAAACGGCGGTCATAATTATCCGCATGAAGTTCCTGGACTAAATGTATTTTGTATGGATGGAATTTATTTTTCTTCCTAATGGTTTGTATGCTAGTTCGATTGATCCCAGACACAGATGCCAGCTGCATCGTACTTAATGTAGGATCAAGATGAAGTTGTCCCAAAACTGCAACTTCACTAGCTTCTAGCTTCATTAACTATAGGTTTTTCAATTTCTCGATTTTTATTGGCTACGTTCCCTGTCTCTTGAAATTTTTTACTAACTCTAGAACATACTTCCTCCTGACATGTCGATCTTGATGTTGTTCATTAAATAGCTGAGCTGTTCTATTCGCATATTTATTGTTCATAAAGTAAAGCGAAATTATATCTACCCTTTAAGCAATGGAATAAACCATCGTGTTTAATTTACAAAATCACAATTAAATAACAACCAACGCTTCCAAATAATACTAGAAAATAATTTGGAATCCACTAATTTTATGTTCATTGTGTGTATAGCATTCATTTCTGTTTTTTACAATTGTGTTTTTTTACGTAAGTGATAACAAATCGCCAAAAACCAATGTAACGCAAGAAATACTAAATTTATAACTCGAATGACTGACATTTTTACCGTTACTAATTGTTTGTACATAAGTTACAACTTTAAAATCAAAATTGGGCGGAATTATAAAATTTAAAGTCTGTTGTAAAGAGAATTGTAAGAGCTTTCAGAAGAAACATTACTCAACCCCCAATGCCACTTAAATATTTTGGGGTGATGCTTACCCTTGCTTGGGGGGTGAAAGTGGCGGAGTCAAAAATACCAGCAAAGAATGCCCCCTTTAATCTAAAATCGACGGGTCTGAGCGTTTTTCTACAATCTTGACGCAGTTCCTGAAAATGACTCTGGTTCGTTTTCATTTGGCCACCCTGTATTAATGTACACATTTAGTATTTTCGAGATAAAATTTATTTTTAACAAGCATATACACATGTCTCTCTAAAATTTACGAGAGAATGAATGAAGCCTAAAATGGATTTTACTTTATGTAAGATTTAAACAAGATTTACTATTTCTCATACGAATACAGTACTTATCTATTTCTCATACAAAAAAATATTTGTATAAAACCAGTTTCAGAATTTGAAAAAGAGACACTTCCGCTACACTAACAATCAGTTTGCGTTCTTTGCACAGACAATAGTAGATTCAAATTAGTTATGTAATATACACAAAACCAAGGAAAATATATAATGACAGCAAAATATTCATACACTATTTTGCATATTACTTGTTATTTGCTAAAATTTTATATAATTTCCAATTATGTTTTATAGGTTTTAATTATTGTCAAATTTATTGTTTTACTCATACCGGGTGTATTTTTTAACTTGAAACTTTCAAATATCTCGAGAAATAAACACTGCGAAAAATATGTCTATAATTAACGATTCTGCAGCACGGTTCCACCGTAAATAATCAAGATTAGACTTTAAACAAATTTTATTTCTCTAAATTGCAATTAGTGAAAAACGATTTGCAATAAACTACTATTTTCGTAACCCAAGAACAGGCGTACATTTTGGGATCCTTGGTCAACGCGATTTCCTACGCTTCTGAATGACATTTGTTGCGGCTCGCATTTCATAATTGTGTAAACTACTTGCTACTTGCTACTTGAATGATCAAATTTATATTTTTAGCTCTAAAGTCTTACTATTTTTGTGCGTCTTATATGTCCCTTTTAAACGTATGATATTGTCAAGTTTCGGTAATCAGTAAGTAATTAGTAATCTTCAAATTTTAAATGTTTTCTGATTTTTACATCCGCCATCTTTTAATCAGGAATTTTCTGATTCAGATTTCAGATTCGTAATCAGCGACTCCAAAAACAAGTGGTAAGAAAATTCAGGCAAAAATATTTAATAGAAAAATGTGTGACTTAAAGGGGTAAGTGAGACCCTGGTTTGTAGGTGGTTTTCAACCGTCTGAGTTATATTCTTTTGGTATGTTGTCTATTACAATGCTATGGTTTTTCACATTGTTTTGCACTAATATTCGTTATCTGATCAATGAGTTTCAAGCTCAAAACAAATTGATTATTCAATAACATATCCTCATCTTTTACAGACACAACTAGTCTTACTTTTAAACATTTTACAAATATTCTCGCAGAATGTTGGTTCTTAAATCCGTACAAGACATTATTAACAAAACGCTTTTTATCACGTGAAATATTACAAATATGTGGTTTCTCTGTCGGTTCGCTTCAAAATATTGAACGCGAAACTTTTTCGTTGCAGCGTAATGAATGTCGTTGAATCCAAGTAAACATCCCCATACTAATTTGAATTCGTATTGACTCGTACTGGCGCTTAATTATAAACTTTGTGCAGCACCAGTTGCACCAATGAAAACTACAAATTGCTTGTTTAAAACTGCATAGAACGAATAGAATTAGGCGATAATAAAACCCACGTAAAACGTAAGTAAATTTCACGTGTTCTCTGTCGCCATTTATTTCCAACTTTTAGTCGCGAAATAATTTATAGGAACGGGTCCTGTCTGCGGGTGGTAGCGACAAAGAACTGAATTTGGAGAAAATAAAGGTTTTTGACATAACCATTTACTTTTTAAAATAAGGGATTCCTTCTTTCTATTAATAAGAAAATTATATAGCTCTGATGTTTATATTTACCTACCTGTTTTTCTCTTTAAGATAAATATTACTTTCTCTAATATTTTGTGTCTCCCTATATAAAGCAAATTTAAAAGCTAGAAGTTTTAAGTTTCAGTCACGTTGCATAATAAAGATACTCTTTTAGGAACTACAGACTTGATAGTATTTATACTATTAGTTACATTTGATGAAATGGAAAGTATGTAGCACTATATTTGATATCATAGGCAAATCATTTAATATTACATTTTCTTAAAACACCATATATGTTTTTGTTGATTCTTTTTTTATATTGCTGTCTCACAATCAGTCATACAGTGGTTAATGGATTTATCTATAATAATAAACATGAAAATGAGAAAAGTATTCATCTCGACTGACGTTTTAAAATTTTACCTTTGTTATACAAATTGTTGTTTTAAATGATGTTCTGTTTTTATTAGAGAAATCTGAAATCTCTCGAAAATGTGTACTTTTTCAGACTCCAAAATACCGTATTCTAGTATTTTAGTTCGTTGCTAAGCAACCATCAGCAAACAGTACGGGAAATTTACATTTCCGGTCTAGGCTAGGTAGTTTTCCCATATCGTTTTTTACTCATATCAAAAATGCATTATTTAGTAAATATAACATTTATTGGACATATTTCACTATTAAACGTTTATTATATTATTTGTTTATATTTATTTATGTTGCAGTTTATACAACCATTGTCTGAACTTTATATGAAAAGTCGGCGACAGTATTATTAGTTAATTACATACAGGATGACTCAGAACTTATCGAAAAAAAAATTTGGATGTACAGGGGACTCCTACGAATACAATTTTGTAAAGAAAAAATCAAAAAGGGCAGTTCGAAAATGATTTAAAAATACACTTCTGCACGGCACTGGAAACTGGCCCACTGTAAAACCTGACCTAGCACAATGCGACCGGCATGGCGGCAAAGTGTGACAAAAACGGACAAAAACTTGAAAGAATTTCGCAAGGAAAGAAATAAATAGAATTTTTTAGCACCTATTTTATTGAGCAAATTCAACTGCTTTTGCCGCTATTATTAATTAATAAAATTTGTGGTTTTAAATAATAAACTAATTTTGACATACAACAGCTGTTCAAAATTTTGTTCACCGACGTGTGGACATTTGGGTCCGTTCTTATTCAGTTTCTACGAACTAACACAAATGCCGTCTTGCTTCACACAAATGCTTCACCATAGTACAAATATTGTCTTGCTTCACCATAAATTAAAACGATATCCATCAACTCCGAGTTGATATACACGCAAGTCATTTTTGACACTAACTACTAAAAAAGTATTGTAAACAGTCGGATTTCAGTATTCGCAATCGCTGAGGCCACGTGGCTCTCCACGCGTATTGCGAATGACGCTAGAGACTACAGTTGTCCAGCTATGTAATGGTTGAAAGTACTGTAACTAATTTTTTTCTCGGAAACTATAAGGCTTTTACAATTTTTTTTACAATATTGACTCCATTTCTCATTCGCATTTATTCCCAAATTTTTTTGGATAAGTTGTGATTCACTATATTTTGACCATCCCTTTAACTTTTTTGTTTTGAGAGTTATAAAAAAATGTGAAATATAAAAGTTGCACGAGTTTTTATGAATTTTTCGAAAATGATAGTAGAAAAACAAATGAGGTCAAACAAAATGGCCGCAGATGTTAACTTTGTTAAGTTAAATGGAACACCGTATATATTTTTACATATTTGGATAGAACGTTCCCTGTCGAGCATAGCATGTAGGGTTTGTACATATTTTGAAACTTCTAAACGCATCTAATCCATTTTATTAAGTATGTACTATCTGGTGATTGAGTAACAAACATCTCATGTTGTTTATTTGACAAAACTTTTACTTCTTTAGTTTATAGTTGTCACTTTGACGTTTAAGGAAAACAAGTAATTTCAAATATTTTTATATATCAATATCGTCCTTGCTGTCTGTTGCTCTCAACATTGAGAATTTGACCACAATGTTGATGCCTTCAACTTTGTAGATACATCGAAAAAATATGCAATCGTAACATTTTCGGATCGGGAAGTCGTTTATAATCGAATTCGTACTTTTCCCTAGATTTGTTTAGTAATAAATTTAAAGTCGCATTTTTTGTAGCTGCCACTTACTATGGTGGTGTCCCGGACACCTGAACATCATCACCACTGTCTATTTTAAATAATTTGTAATATTATTTTAGCACTTAAAACGAATTTGACTTTTATCACAATAAATAAGCAATGATTGTCAAGGAAATGATTTCATAAGCAACTAGACTGTAATGAAGAAATGCCTATGCATTAATAAAAATTTCTTAGTTCATATTAGTTAATTAATATTGTTGGCTGTTTCAGGTAAAAACATATTGCTTTTACTACTAGATACACAAGATACTGTTCCTGTTACATCTGGAAAAGTGGCAATATAGCGGCAATGCAATTACCCTCTTCAAACCAGCATGCCCTTTTACACCTGGATGTTAAATTTGATACGAATCAGATAATTTGTATAAAAGTGCAGTTGGTATTGCTTCACTTATGTTTTAGAGTACGCTCTGTAAATACAGTAAGTGGTTCTAAGATTATTAAATCAGATAGAATTGATTATTTATCTTTTCATCAAAATTGATGCCTCTGTCTAAGGATACAAAAATTAAATACACAAAATTGTTTCTTCTTTGGTTTAAAAGATTGTACTATTTAAAACTACTTAATTTTGCGATTAATTATTATTTTAGTTGGTTGGATCGTTCAAATTTTTACGTATTTAAAAAAACAAAAAAACACTTGTATAGTTGTCCTACCCGAGATTGTCGCCACCATATGCGAACTCACCTCTTCCCGTTCAGATAAAACCTCCTGGACAGGGCGCTGCCGATGCTGATATAGTTCTCCGAATAGCCTTTCTCCTCGATTCGGATATTACGAGCACCCTGAGGTATCACGACGATTTCCCTGTACCCGGGCGACCGGCTTTGCTTGTTGTACTCTCCCCACTTCTTATCGCATTTGGTGCCGTCCCCCTGGCAGATGCCGCAGTCATCCTCCTTCGCGGTGGAGTCTACTACCCAGTCGCAGCCGACCTTCTGAAATTAGAAATATGCGATATAAGTGCTTTTATAAAGAAAACCTATTCTAAAACTATTTCCTGCAATTTATACTATTAAATCAGAAAAATTTAAAAATGGTGAAAGTCATGTTTTTACCGTAAAAATAAATTTTGAGGAGATAATTATCGAAGTCGTCGACAACCTCATTTTCTCATTGTAAAAACAAGATGATTGATTCACATAAAAAAATGTTGGGGACATATTGTACGATATTAAAAATAGAATCGACTCCAGCTAAAAAATTATAACAAACTATTTACTGTCGCTTATAGTCTGTTTATTAAAATGTATCATCAGTTTTTTGCAGGTGATTCTCCAGAAAATTTTCAGCCTATTTGATTTGACAAATGCCTATTTATTCAGTATTACTCCAGTTTCCATAACGTTCATATTACCGTGGTTTATTGTATCAGTTTTACAAGTGTTCGAAATGATTATAAAGCAATGCAGAATGAATAAATTTCTAATTTATGGCGAAGCATGACAAAATGTATTAGCAGCTTCTCGCTTTAAATGTTGTGGAATAAAGTCCCCTTATACTTATCCCAGCAGGCAAATCGTTTGACAAGTGCCCGGAGTGTCCAGATTAACACATAATACATTATGCTTAAATGTGTTTCTATCAATGTATTGCGTGTGCAAGCTATTATCCTTTACGGTTTAAATTTTATAAAGATTTATTACAACAAAATTCTCAAAAATTTAGATTTATAACTGATATGTTAGTTACAGAAACAATTGTGATTACAAGAAATGGGATAAATAATGTCCACAATGCATATGTCTAGGAATTTAAAACCTCGCAACGAGATCATTTCCAAAACCATTTTCTTTTAATTCTTGTGACAATCACTTAATTGGCATATTGTCACATGCCTCAAGAAATCAAGGATACTTTTGAAAGTAAGTATTCTATTCTGAAACAGTTTGACAGTATTATTATTAATTGTTGTACATGATGTTTTGGAAAGACGCACAAATGACATGTTACAAGACGTTTTAGAGTTAGATTTTTATATTATAAAATTCCAATTTACAGTTTTTAATAAAAACGCAGTTGACTGTCTCGAGGGTAACCAGTTTCTGCTCCTTAATATAGAGGATGTCCGGATCGAAAGGATAACTTCAAGCATGGCTTCCTTGGATAGAAATAAACCGAATTAGATCAAGTTACCTTAATATAATTTTGCTTTCCTGAAGGGTTACCGGGTTTCAAAATATTATTTTGTACATAGCTTTTTAAGGAAGCAAACCTGTATTAAGGTAACTTGATACAAATCGGTTCATCTTCAAGGTGGTCATTTCTAAAATATGGCCCAATGACCCTTACGGATTTCAGAAGGTCAATCGCGTTTTCTTGGAAAATGATTCGTTTCCTCCGATTTCAGCGGATTGAAATTATACATTGTGATACGTAAGTCATGATATTGCTGGAAACAAATACTACTCTACGGACCGAGCCGTATTGAATTATACCAGCAATATTATTACAATTACAATTCAATACTACTCAGGGCATACAGCCGGTAGATAACAATATAATCACTTAAAATTTGCTGTCGTCCACATAGTGGCGGCACTAGTTATATCTTAAAATGTCATTGGGTAAGACTGGAGCTAGCAAGAACTAAAAATGGTCAAGAACTAATAACACTAACTAACGTATCCTCAAACAATTACCTGTACCAAATTGCAATGCATTACACTTTTTTTGGAAAATACGTATTTAAAATTTGATTAAAAAAATCGTACACAGAAATCATGGTCCGTAGAAAAAAACGTTGTTCTACCAGCACCAGTTATTGGCATATTTTTTTAATAAGACTGTATAAATTTTAATTATAATTGAATGTAGGTACTTTACTATTAGATATTTGAATTTGCTCTTATTTTTCTTTAAACTGTAATCGTTTTATTGACAATTTCTTGAAAATTAAGGTATTTTATCCTAAAGATTAAGATAAAGAGAAAATGAAATCTTTATCTGCTTGCATTTTGACAAATAATGATTCTACACACCCTTATATTTTAAAGTAGAAAACAATGGACTAGTTTTTCATTAAAATGACGATATTTAATTCAAGCATCTTAAATTTCATGTATATATGGTGTCACCTAACGAATGTTACATATTTCATGGGTATAATCTAGAACCCAAATGGTATCGATTTAACTAAACTTGCATAAACGAAAAATGTCGCAAAAAAGTTACAGGGTGTTAAAGTGTGGTCCATTCTCTTCTACGCATTTCCTTAAACGCTTTATGAAACTATTGGGAATGGGAAACGAAATATATGTTCGTCTAACTTGACATACAGCGTCTTTTATTCTATTCCTAAGTTCTTTTCCCGTATTAGGTGTTATAGAGTTGTAAACAATTCCTTTCAAATGACCCCAAGAGTAAAAGTCTAAAGGATTAAATCCGGACAGAGAGAAGGCCAAGGACTACCTCGATCAACCCAACGGTTTGGAAATGCTTTATTTAAATGATCTCTCACCAAATGGCTGTAGCACCATGGTGCATGAGCCACATTTGTCGTTTAGTATTAATGGGTACTTCTTCGAGAGCCCCAGAAAGTTCTTGCCGAAGGAATTCCAAATAATTTTGGCTGTTCAACTTTACAGGTAGAGCGATAGGCCCCATAATAAAATTTCCTATAATCCCGCACCAGACGTTAACTGAAAATTCGTGTTGGAAGTGATGCTCTTTTATTGCGTGTGGATTTTAGAGTTTTTCCAAACACCTCTACGGGTAAAAACAGCTTCATCTGTAGAGGCAATTCTCCAGAGAAAGTGTGATTCCTGTTATGTAACTGGAGAAATCGTTCGCAAAATATTAATCCCAGGGGGCGGTTTGCTTCAAGCAAATTTTGTACAGGGTGAAAATGGAAATATTTTAACTGCTGCGTGCGGAGTATGGTTGAAGCGGTTTTGCGGCCAATTTCTGCGACTGCTGACAAACGATGAATAAAATTACGGGATTTTCTTCTACTCTTCTAGAATTTGTTCTTCGTCTTGTACCCTTCTTTGACCTTACGTTCCATTCGTTAATTAGACCGAAAGTTTCCACTTTCTCCTAATCTGGTGAATAAAGAAGCAAACAATTTATGAGAAGGCTGTCTGCGATTCGGATAAAGTTTTTCATATATTCTAGCAGAGCGTCCAATAAAATGTTCATGTACAAATAACACTAGCATGTCTCTCATTTCATAATTCGTCAATTCATTGTGACCAGGCATTTTTAGAAACAAATTTTTGCAAAATACAAACTTGACAGTGACTTATCGAAATTGTCTTGTTATTTCCAAAAAATATGGGGTATGTGTTAAAATAATTTCTGCAATATCTTCAAAACCGATTTCGACTTTTGATAGGTAAACATTTTTTTGTGTAGAATATAATTCACTGCCTACTTCTGAGAGTTGCGTGTAAAAATTTAAACGTACCAAAAAGTTATAGGAGAATATTCGCCAAGAGTTGTAGTAAAATGAAGAGAAACTAAGCAACAGCAAATTTTGCTCAAATCGGTAAACTGGGTTCTGAGTTAAGGAGAAAACAAGAAATTTAACACCCTGTAACTTTTTTGTTTAAACAAGTTTGCTTAAATCGACACCATTTGGGTTCTAGATTATACCCTCGAAGTATGTAACATTCGTTAGGTGGTATCCTGTATTTGTCGAACCGTTCAAAGGTGTAGCTGTGACACTATTCATAAATTCTTAGCCGGTGGTGGAGCCATTTGCTTGGCGTTTTAGGGGCCCTGTGAAGATGGGACACATAAATATGTCGCTGTTTATTTCAGAGAGGGTCAGGCAGAAAAATGTGGAGAATTCGGTGCGTCCGAATAAAGGTTGCGGCAAGACCGGAACGAAAGGTCATATGTCGTTCCTATATGAGAAATATACGCTTTTGTGAAACTAAAGGAAAAGGAATACAGAGCGTTTATGGAAAGAAATCACAAATTTCTTTTTATAGAGGAAATATTAACAGTTACTTTTTATTCTTGATATCTATGCAGAGTCAATATATTCAACTGCTGCAGAGCTACTCGTGTTTTGTAAACATACGAAAGTAAGTTTATCGATTTTCACTATATCTGCTTCTGTTGAGCAAAGAATAAGCATTAAATTTTGAGGCTATGTCGCTAAAAAATGTTTAAAAGTGATTAAAGAAGGCAGAAGAGCGTCCCGGATGACCAACAACGTCAACTGATGAACAACACGTTAATCAAATCAAAGATCTTATACTCGAAAACCATCGATTAACAATAAGAGATCTTGCTGCAGTTGTTGGCATTTCAAAAGGTTCGGTAAATAAAAAACGATCAACTTTTTGAAAAAACAGCGTCGCGTTGACATCCGTGAACTCTGACTACCAAGACGTCATGAAACGCATCATTACTGGCGACGAGACTTGGATCTACCCTTTCTACCCGGATCAATCGAGTGAATATCGTGCAAAAGGTGAACCAAGACCGAAAAAACTACGCTAGTCATTCAAAAATTCCCTATTCCCTAAACTCAAGAGACCATTCCGTGGTCACCGTTTTGATTCGATCGAAGAAATAAAAGCCGAATCGATGAACACATTGAAGGCCATACCTGAAAAGGACTTTTCTGACCGTTTCGAGAGTTGGAAAAAACGTTGGCATAAGTGCATTATATCGGGCGGGGATAACTTTGAAGGCGACGAAATTAATTTGGAACATAAATAAAGACTTTATTTTTTAAACAAATTCACCTCAGATATAGAAACTTTTATGACGGCATAATATATAGAATCGCATTATTCAAAGATTTTACCTATGAACTGTTACATTTTTCAAAAATTGTAACAGTCTCAGAAAATATACTATTTACGAAAACTCTTTTCCACATAAAATCACCTGAGGAGGCGCCTTCAGTATTTTAGATTACCCCGGATCACCCTGTACTTTCACGATCGGTTGGACTTGCTATTAACCAGCTTTTTGTGCTTAAGAAAAAAACTTTAAAACTTGATTTAATTTTATATTTAATTTAATAAATTCTTTAAAGACCGCCTCAGACCCCAAGTTTCAGGCAACACCTGGGCCTGACGTTTGTCAATTTATCCAGGTAATATTTTTCTCAAAGGCGTTAAAGATACACTTAATTAATATTAATGCTGCGCGCCCGTAATTATCGATTTTGTTATTATCCCCTTTATAATATCATTTTTACTTTCTCTCTCCCCTCTGTCCTTCTAAACAACCGGTTCCAAAACAATTAGCAGGCTTTACTCGCTACAGTCGAAAATGGTTATTAAAGAGCGAATGTAAAAGTGATTAGGCAGTTACTATGACTTTTTAAAGGCGCTGAAATGGATCGTCGGTGGGTTTTAATGTACTGGGTGAAATTTTGATGCGACCCCCTTATTTACTCGCATAATGGGACTCGAAACAAACATTTAAAAACACAGAGACACGTTTAACGAAGGCAGAGTCGAATATTTTCATTATTACTTTATGCAGTGTGAGAATTGAATGTTTTCACTCCAATCGTATTGATTTACGCATCATTTTCTTTTAATAATACATGCCATCAAAGTAACACTTTCATAGTGTTCTTTCTTTCTATAGTGTAGGGATTAACACTTAGACCCTACACTATATAAAAAGTCCACGATTATAGTGAATAGAAGGAAAAAATATATTACATTTTACAGAAAAAGGGTCACTTGATAAAAAGTATTGCTTTGAGATTATTATAGAGAAAGGTAACATTTCATATACAGGGTGTCCAGAAAATAAAAAAGTCTGAAAATGTTATAGGAGTAGATATACTACCTTCATTTTTACTGTTTCAAAAAGTGTCATTAGGAAAAATTGTTCGAAATTAAATTATGAAAGAATTTCCATTTGTAGCAAAATTGGACTCCATTTGATTATTACAAAAAATTATGTCCATGCCAAGTGAGCAGGGTGTAAAAATATGGAAGAACTGAAAATGTGGGTATTTTTATTTATAATTTTTTAGTTTTCAGTAAAAAAAAAATATGATAGAGTTGCAACTTATAGCAAAATTGGTACACTTTGTTTATTAAGGAGAATCTGGCGCTACGAAAAAATGCAGCTAATTTCGTATTATTGAGATATATTATTTTTACAATGCGAAATCAAATTCTGTGAATTAATTATTCTCGAATTATTTATTTGATTTTGTTTATATGACACAAATGGATATTTTTAAATCATATTTAAACTTTTCCATACGAATCATTTCGTTTGTAGATAATCTAAACTACGTAAAAGTTCTTTGAAAAAAGAGCAGTGTATGCTTTATGCAATGTACTCTATGTCAATTAGTTGATGCCTTCGAGCGATGTGCAGCTTCACAATCTTCTCTTCAGCAGCTTTTTTTCCTGACTTTGTTATTTTCTGTTCTAATTCTCAAGCACACATACTTTCTAAATGTATATCAATAATCCTATATACATGACAAGGACTGCAACTTACAAATAATAAACAAAGCATACTCGTGAGCTGTTGCCAAGATTCTGTTGAAACTTTTGGCATTTATTTATGCATATTGGGTAAAAAATAATAATTGAGAAATGGAAATATATAATTTTATATAATTATTTTAAACTCGATTTTATACAATATCTACAAGCAAGTTATATCAATCTACTTACTGTCTAGTCATAAAGAATATTTTTCTTTACATTGACATGACAAAACATTTGTTTATTGAAAATTTTGTTTGTGAGTTTAAATGACTTTTAAATTATTTATATCATGACGTTAAGTACTTCACTTTACTCAAATGTTGTGTTGTGACGAAAATGACATTTTATTCTTCATTTGTTGTGTCGCTGCACTTCGACTAAAAATCCTAACAGTAATTATCGTATAAATGCTAATTTTTCATACAAAAAATTAAACTAATATAGCGCTACAGTAAGGGTCTTAATATTTATCGCCAAACAACACAATAATTCAACGAAACATATTCAATTGTGCCGTGGCACAGTTATCTTTACAGAAAATAATGTAAACATTTTCAACAATAGCGTAACTGTTGAAAAATCTGAAGTAAAAGAAAAATTATGATAATGAAGATGCGTTATTATGCTAGCTCTACGGTCAGTGAATGAATATTCTACCACGGAGACGTTCAGACTTAGGAGTTTTCAACCTCACTTTAGAGGCAGGCGACGAAGTGAAATGTCTCAATCGGAGATATGGAAAGAAATTCTCAACAAAGCTATGTTTTAGGACGAATCCACTCTACAAGTGGCATTGTTGCTTCGCAACGTTTGCGACATTGGAGTCTCGAGAATTTTACAATACCATATAAGCGACAATATTTCCAGTAAAGAAATGTTTTGTGTAGAATTTCCTTCTGTAGACTTCTTACTTCTTTAAAGATGCTTGCAACGGGAACTATTACCTAAATATGCTCCAAACGTTTTTCATTAAACTGGATTGCCCAGCATGATCCATATTAATGGCCCTCACGGTGTCCAGATTTATCACTATGAACTTTTACTTGTGGGGCCGACTCAAACAGCAGACCTTTGGACATTATCATTTAACATATTGGCCTGCTAAAACGACGTATTATAGGAGCTGTATAGTCCATATCCTTAGAAGTTATAAGTTATAATGAATTCTCCTGGTACTAGCACTCAAATATTAGATACAAGATTTCAAGTACCTACATATGTTATAAGACTGTAACAACGAATGTTAGAGCTTCAGGGATTATATCCATGTTCAGAAAGTGCATAGGTACGTTGAGACTAAAATAGAATTATGTGAATGAAACAATCAGAAAACCATCAAATGAAATGTATTTTTAAAAATTTATAATAACAAATTTGACAATCTTTGGAAGTTTTGAAAAGCTACATGCTAAGAATTATAAAAGAGATAATAATAACTGGGCAACAATATTTTTCTTCATTGGCATAACGTAAAGCCATTTTGCCAATTTTGAAACAAGTGCCACTCTAATTATTAACAATTAACTCTATGATTAACAATAATTCAAAATGACAAGTAGTTTTAAACAAATGCAAATATTATTATCGTCATGGAGATTTATAGGCTACTAATGGGGTTTTTCTTCGTAAATACGTTGCCATTACTATCATTTTTTCACTCAATGCCATGACAAACAAAAAATACAAAAATTTGGGACTACCCTATAATAGTTCCGAAAAATTATGCAGTGTTGCCAAAATATTAAAACACTGATTTTTGAGGATGTTGAAGCCAAAAAAATGCTTTATTTACTCAGCTTAAAATCAATATGGCCCCCATAAGAAAAAATAAAGTTAATGATGGTTTCTCGCAACCGAAATGTCGCAATGGAGATTTGAATGTACAGTGAAATACCTGAAAAATTTGCTGTGAAAAAATGTCCACACATTTAAAAATTCTTCTAAATAAAAAAGTTTCAAACGATTTTCGAAAACGCCACATTTACTATTTTTCAAAATAACTCAAAAACCTGAGGAGCTAGAACAGGTCTGCAAGCTCTACAGAACTGACAAAAATTTTCTCCATTTAAGAAACCAATACATGCATCACCAAAATGGTCCACACTGTATAATCGTTATTGTTTGAGTTTTCTGTTAGGGGACTTTTCACTGTTTCATGAATTTTATTTAAAATAATTCAATTTCAGCTAATGTGGTATAATAATGTTCTTGGCGAACATCCACTCAATGAAAGTTATACACAAATATCAGTATATCAAGCTTTTTTGGAAATTTGTCTAACATTTAATTTTTAGGAAATTTTATTGTTCTAACAATTCAATTCCCTATTTTTCTCTTAATTTATGAAATTTAATAACAGTGCATGTCGCAGTTTCCGAATGTGTAAGCGCTCACGGCTAGCAAAAAATTGCGAAAAAAGTTAAACTTTTTTTAGAATTTAGAAAACAGACTTGTATGTGCTTGTAAAAACTAAAGGCAGCTTTCGAATAAATATTACCCCTAACCAAAGTTACTCATCCATCTAATAACCACCAAACGTTTTTGAATTCTATGAAAAAAGTAACTTACGTGTTTATTACAATTTCTTTCGACAAAGTTATTAGTTACCATCCTGCATTTTAGAACAATCTCATTCTAATAAATAATTCTGTTCAATACCCCCAAACCTTTCATCGGCTTAATTTTTCATCCTACTTAAAGCATACATTACCTTGCATATACCTGATATACAGATGTCTCTGGAGACGACGCTGCACGGTGTCCCATCAATCGCGTAGTCTCCCCAGGGCACTATTACAGTCTCGTTGGCGTCGCTGCAGTACAGCTGGCAGGGCTCACCTACGACACAACACGCTTGTATGTAAACACATCGTTGGTGGTGGAATGAAAATAAGCACGGCATTTTTATGGGATACGGTGCCGGTGGGTCAGTATTAAGATAGATTAAGATAAGTAGATATTAAGATAGGGCAATTTTACATTGTTATTTTATACAATATGGAAGTATTTTTTTGCGTACTATTTGTTACATATAATGATAGAAAAATTTGTTAGTCTTAACATTACCTACTTCTAATTGTAAATTATTTAACTAATTGAAGTTAATATTAAACTTTTTTAAAACTTTGTTCAAAAGAAGTTTAAGGTCGAAGTTGGAGTTTTATAAGACGTGTCAGTGGTGCTTTAAAATTGAGTTGAGTGTTGCTGTAAATAGACAAACTATTAGAATGTAAATTAAGATAATGGAAGTTGTTACAAAAAGATACATAAATATAACTAAGAACTTGTTTTATGATTGTGGGAGAAAAATATAACCTACAAAATTAATCAAAGCATTTTATCTACGAACAAAGAGTAACCTACTAATCTGTAGACACTATGAAAGCATGACTTTCACACCAAGTGAAATAAACTTTTTAATTAATGAACTAATGACTAACTAAGCAACTAAGTAGGTAACTTTTTAATTGTAGATACAAAGTAACGATTTTTGCAAGTAGATACTAGGGTTTGCAATCCCGCAGTCCTTTTTTTCCAGCTGGAAATTTGTGGTAAATTCGCCTTTACAGCGGGATCCCGCTGTAATTCCCGCGAGAGATTTAAAAATATATTTATATATGAAAATAATAATGCTATTATTCTGGAGTGTTTATATTTAATCAAATGAAATATAAATAATTCTTGGTATTTAAAAATCAACAGATAAGTATTATATACATTAAAAACTATGTATATTAACTAGGAATCAACATAAATCAACACATCAGTAATGTATTACTTAATGTACTTGTTGCTGTTAAATTACTAAATTTATAAACATTTAGGTTAGGTTAGTAATTTAATCGTAGTAACAATTTCTAAAAAAAATATTTGCTAGATACATCGATAATATACTACCTATATACTATACCCTACTTCGGAATATGACAGTTTAGAGAAAATTGCAAAGAGACATTAGGCATACTTCATTTGGCTGTCATTCATTTACTATTTAAGGTAATAACTTACCTTAATTAGTAATTTGAAGTATTTGAAGAATGTTAGAAAACATTGCAATTTCAATAAAAACTGCGTCGAAAATGTTGCTTTGTCTTAATAAATTTTAAGATTTTGCTAGGTAAAAATGCCGTATGTGCAGTATTGGCTACATTTTCAACAGAAATTAATAGAAGAACCAGAATATGTACATCCTATACATGATATTTTGGATGTTTTTACAGGGTATTTTACAATTTTTAATATATTGTGTTGCAAATAATATTTAATTGTTGTTTAATTTAAAACAACGCATGTAAACACATACAAATTTAATTTGTTAAAAACATCGTATTTCAACGCTTCTGCTAGAGAGAAAGCCGTATGTGGTCACATGCGGCGTTTATACTTTGTACATCTTAATGAAATACATGTACATAAGTCTGCTAAGTGACACAATATTAGAAATTTATAATGTACAAATCTTTAAATTTAAAGAAACAAAAACGATATTTTTGATTTTTATAGATGGGTATATAACACGATATAGATTTCAAAGACGTAATTATCTCAATTTGTCACAAAACTGCATATACGGTCTTTTTCCGAAGTAGGGCAGTATAGTATAATTAAAGTAACATACAAGGAGACAAAACTATTAGTTACATATAAAATTTCACTTTGTAAACACTTTTTTTCTCAAAAATAAACAAACGAATCAAGGAATTTGTTTGAATGATGCAAAGATCTGCCGATTTTAATCTTTTCCTTTGCTCGATTGATCGATGCTATCACAGGGAAACGGGATGCGCGTGCAAACCAAACGGGGCGCTCGCGCGCCATGCGCTGTCGCTAAACGGACGTGTTCTATTCAAAAATTTCCCGTGCGGGAATTACCGCACAAATGCGGGAATTCCGCAGGTTTCATTGACATGCGGGAAATTGCTGGAACGCTGTAACGCGGAATGCGGGATTGCAAACTCTAGTAGATACAAATATTCATTCCTTAAAGAGCGAAAGTACTCAAATTGGTGTGAGACATAAAATAATTAGACAAAAACAGAAACATTCACTTGATGAAAGCCTATATATTTGTTTGTTTGACAAACTCGTACAAATCGGGCTAATTTTATTTGTTGCGAAAATGTCAAACCGCAGTTAGCGGTTTCCTTGTAAAAAATTCTAATTTAGTAGCTATGAAATTTAAAATACGACAAATACTTTGAAGGTTATATCCCAATCACATTCAGACCATAGCACCAGATGGACATCCAAATAGCTAAATCGTTCGTCGGTCATCTACCTTAAAACATATTGATGTGAACTAATAGGTTCGAAATTGAATTGATCTGATGATACTGTTGAAGAATGATCTTAGCAGTTGACTAGATAGATATTAAGGGTGAAACTCAATGTTAGACGGAGTATGTTGCTCGCAGACCAGTTGCTTCCCACAATATTATTAGTTAAAAACTTGTTATGTTGTTAATCTACGGTGTATATCAGCAAAACGTTATAGATTCGTCACAAGCAACAAAGCGTCTTTTGATGAAGCTCCAATTAACCGTTTTAGAATAAAATGTTTAATGTTTTGAGGAGTAAATTATTACTTTACTTCACAATTATTATATTATAATATACAGGGTGTCCCAGCAGGAACTGCGTCGATCGATATCTAGGAAAGTATTGTCCCGAAAAATTTGAAAATATGGCAACATGGTAATGCCCCTGGGGCGAATACAACTTAAATATTTAGAACTCTCCAGTACTTCCGGTTATACCGGAAGTCGACTTCTTTATTTTAAATGGGACAACATTGTATTTTCGTATTCTACGTGAAATTTAAGGGTCACTTTATTAAATATTTCCTATCCCTAGGAGATTTTGAGATATTAATTTTTAAAGAAAAAATTTGACAGATGCAAGGGTCCGCGAAGATGCTAGTAACTCTTTTCAGGAGAGTGATGTCAAGTGGATTTTTGGTACCTGTAAAGGGCACAGGTACATTATGGTATACCAACAAATTAAAACATTTAATAAGTGTTTCATTTTTGCTGTTACATTTTGATAATTTCAAACAGTTAACTCTGTTAACTTAAATACAACACCCTGTATTTTTTTACCCTGTCGTATGCAGATTCAAAATTCCTGTCGAGCCATTAAAAAATTAAAGGAACAAAAAATTTTCATGAATCTTTTAGTAATTTTAGAAAGGTTTTGAAAAATGGTCTTATCGAGATAAATAAAAAAACAATTAGTATAATTTTGGTATGCAAAAGCTGAATTGTGCAACTTAAAAGAAAAAATTCTATAAATTTTTGAAATTTTTTTTTTAATTTTCTTTTTTTAAATGAAACTACCTATATCTAATGCAAAATTGTAGGAAAAGTCGAGAAAAATTTTGCCTTTAATTCTTTACAAAACTTTGATCACTTGGAACATAAAAACGGTTTGATGCATTAACTTGCCAATTTACAAGGTTATTGTGGGTACATTCAGCAGTAAAAAATTCTATAAATATTAGTCTTTTCATAAATATTTGTAAATTAGCAGTAGATTTTTTAAAAAACTATAAAGTAAATTTTTTGCACTTTTTTCAAATTGATGTCAGGATGAAAAAAAATGTTATTCTTCGAAAACGATGACTGGTCTTTGTAGAGAATTTATTCAAGTTTTAAAAAATGTCTTTAGATTTACTGTGCAATAATTTATTGCGGAGATATCGATAACTAAAGATAAAAGTGTCATTTTTCATTCAACCATCTATATCCCGCCAATCAAGTCGCACGGAGACTTTCATAAATCAAATTGAAGCTGATGTTGAATAAATAAACTAAGTAACCTCTGTATTAGTTTTATGTGAAAAAGTTTTTCAGAGTCCATGGATAGGCCTAAAAAAAATTTTGGAAAATTTTCTATTTCGACTGCTCGATAACTATACCTCAAAAAAAATTGTCTAAAGATGTTGAAACTATAGACTTAAAGCTTCAAAATGCTTTTTCGTTTATCTCGAAACGACCATTTTTTACTTTGAATATTACTAAAATATTCATGAAAATTTTTTGTTCTTTTAATTTTTTCAGTAGTGTATATTAATTAGTGTAGATAAAATAGAAAATATTAACCTGGCATGTAATTTAACAAAAACCTAATCTTTTAATTTTTTCTTTTAATTTGATTCTTTGTGTGTTCTATATGTTTCATTTTATTCCAAGGTCTCCTAGAAAACCAAATTAAATATATATTTTTTTAATTTAAGTTTTAGGCTTTTTAAGGAACGAAAACAATACTGCGTTGTCAAGTTTTTTATGAAACCATAGGTATATGACTAATGAAAAAATCACTTGGAGAAAAATCGTAGCAAGCCATGGATTTCTAATTTGGTCATCCTAATACGTCTGCTAATTAAATATATTATGTTCCTATACTTATGTATGAAAAAATTCACTGACGTCGCATTAGGGTTGTTGACCAAATTTCAAAAAATAGATAATATAATTCTACACGTACTAACTACTGTGTATACACAATTAGAGATTGAGAAACTGATTTTTTAACATTTCATAACTGTTGTGACGTCATAAGGGGCATCTTGTAGTGAAATTATTTGTAAATGATTGCGTAAAGGAAAAAAATTGGAAGAATACTATGAGTTATTTCCTTAATCTTCAAATTCCTTTATTAAGTAAAATTATTATTTAGTAATAATCATTTAATATCTTCCCTTATAATTGAAGCATAATGTGCGAATCCAGATTTGTAAAAGCTACTTCGCAAATTTCACCGAAAATTGATATTTTTATGATCATGAATTGAATTTTTAAAAAGAGACAAGCGTTTTAATCTTGGCGCAGTCAGAGGTATAAAAGCAGTCAGGTAAGGATCAACATATTTAATGAATGATTTTATTGTGTTTATTAATTTATA